AAATATATATATATATATAAAAAAAATCCATCTGCTCAAGCAAGGAAAAAGAAACCTGACCCTTACAGATCAAACTTTAGTTCTGTTTGGAGTTGCATGAAGCGCTTCTGTGAGTGACACAACTATGCTCTTTCTTAAGGGAGCTCAAATCTATCTGCAGATGTGATGTGTAAGGGACCCTGCAAATAAACGTTAGTTGAAAATACAGTTTTCTTCTTAACGTGGTCTTTAACTCTTACCGGTGTTATCAAGTGGCTGTTATAACATTTAGTCTTTGTCTTGCCATTCTGCCCAGTGACGTGGTTATCAGATAGGCTGCAGTGTTATCAGTGCCAGGGCATCCTGATAAAAGCAGAATCTCTGTTCCATTGTTGAATAATGAGTTGCCATTTCTTGTTACGCTATTTGATAATGTTTTGTAATTTGGTTTCATTTTCAAAACACAACTACATACTATAACTTTTGCTAAATGATTTTCAGCAACATGTAGTGTGGTTTGCTTTCATGGCTGGAATCTGGGAGGAAAGGTCTAATGTGGGATAATGTTTCTAGCTGAATTCTGACTTCAGTCATTCCAAAATTCGGATTATTGATGGGATTTCGTTACAGAAGAATTAAAGAAAAGTAACTCTTCAGGGAGTATTTGTGAAACAATGGAACTTGCTGATTTAGCATGCAGTCTCATATTCTGTAATAAGGGATAAAAGGAGTTAGTATTTTGTAGTTGCTTTTGTAAAAGTATCATCAAGGTAACTTCTTCTGAATTCAGTTCTGCTGAAATTCATTGTACCTTCTTAAGTGGTTGAGTGTAGGAAGCATGAGTTACTACCCAAATTAGATAGAATAGTAAAAATGGAGTTAATCATTAGAAAGACTCAAGTCTTTTCTTGTATTCTTAGGCATCAACACCTATAGAACTCCCACAGATGAAATCTAAATTTTTTGAAGATGGCACGAGGAGAGAGCTTCTGTTCCGTCAGTCTCTGGCTCAAAGTGCAACAGTGTCGGTCTCCCATCCCATTGGCGATTCTGTTGCTCCATCAGAGCCTGGAAGTAAAACTGGTCCTAGGGCAAGTGCAGCAGAACCATTTCAGAGAGCCCAGCCCCTATCAGAGGAAGAGACTGACCATCTGGATGAAGAACTAGATCTTCTCCTCAATCTAGACGCTCCTGCTGCTACAGAAAACAGACCTGTGTCACGTGCATTATCCTACGACAGATCAATGGAGACGGACTTGAAGAAAATGGGTTGTAAGGAAAATGGTAAGATTTCTTTTCTCCCCAGCATGCCTTTACTTAATTTCCATTGCTCTCTGTTTTGGTGATGTTTTTGATCTCTTGATCAGCTAGTCAACAGGACTGCTGTCATCATCTCTGTCATACTGCCTTTCATTTCTCTGGGGCTACATTCTGACCCATTTGTTCCTTTTCAAGTTTAACTCCTCACTGAACTAAAGTTTCACCATTTTCAGTTCATTTTAAGCATTAAGAGAAATTCTTCTGCAGAACAGTATTGGTCTTATGATTCAGAAAAATTTTAAATAAAAAAAAATTAATGTATTGCTAGAGAATTTTAGTGAGAGGAAGATAAAGTTTTTATGTAACATTATCAGCCCTTATTTCACTGTGCTAATAATATACAGAATTGTCAGCTATTTCTGATGATGGCTTGTTATAAAAGCTATTTTCAAACTTTACTAGCATTGATTTTACAAAATCAAGTTTAGTATGGAAACAAAACATATACAAAAATCCTTGTACTTCAGAAAAATCAGCAAACGTGCCTTTTGTTTGCATTCCTAGAAGTTATATTGCTCTTCGTTAGTTTTGCTGGAGATGGTTTGCTGGTCCTCCCCACTCCACAATGCTGTAAAAGAAGTTTTAACAGGTCTGATTTTTTTGTGTCTGATTTTCTTGCCATCTTAAAAGTTAAGTCCAAGATGGCTGAAGATGTAAGATGTCCCCACAAGCAATACAGCAAGCCTTGTTACTGAAGACAATCTTGAAATGCTCTTTCGCCTCTGTGGCACGTCATGCTTTCTGCTCCAAAGCACAGGGTAAATCCCGTAAGAAAACACTGCCCTCAGGGTATGGGTTCGTACTGTGCTGGGGCGATCGTGTGGGGCGGTCGCTGCTGCGGCCTCCTGCTCCGTTCCTGCGGGAGGGTAAACTCTGCTCCGGATGGGACTGCGAACAGAGCACAGCAGGGGGGTCGCTCACAGTCTGTCTGCTGCAGCCCCGGCCGTGCCCCCCTTGAACCAGATGGAAGCCACATTGTTCTGGTTGAGCTCATTAAGCTGCCTCATCACTTTTTTATTACCACTGCTACTGGTTTTGTAATATGACTCGTGACTCTTCAAGAAAGAGAGAGTGTGGCTGTGTCAGTTGTGCATTGAAAGCTGGTGTGGAATTGTTGCAAATTTTCAAGTCTGTTCTTCTCACTTTTCTAGACCTTATAAAACTAGATATGCCTGAAGAGAAGACTACAGCATCACAGCCACAGCGAACTACATCCAAAAACGTTACTGAGGAAGAGCTTGAAGATTGGCTGGACAGCATGATTTCCTGAAGCTTAGATTTTCTCCTGTGAATAACTGAATATAGCAAATACTAAGTAGAAAGTGGAATCTTTCACTTAGTTCAGTATGCCAAATGCTTAGTTTTCTTTGCTGGCACCTAAAATTCTGTGCAACGAAAATTCATTTAGATGTGATTGAAAATAGACTAAGACTAATATTCTTAGAAAGGTCTAAAATTTGTGATGAAATGAGGATTTTCTTTGCTAAAGATGCAGGCTACAGCACACTAAGAGAACAGATATTTCAGCTTGTACTTGCTCCATGTAGTCCTTAAAATAAAGCTACAAATGAACAACGAATACATGTGTGTTTAGTCACCATCCTCACGCCGCATCTCCATGTTGTAGAAAAATGAGACAGAAGACAGCCAAGGTAATATTTGGTTTATAATACTTTATTGCAGTGGGCACTTTTTATTAAAGAAGAAAACAAAAGCATAATCCTAGCAGCTTCTACTTGCGGGTGACCATAGAGCATTGTTTCATTTTGGCCTAAGGTTTCAATTGTATTCATTTGATACAGTGTATGTCTTTTAACAGCAGCATCTAATAAGCTGTTATTGAAGGTAGTATATAAACAAACTTCAAGTGCAATTTCATACAGAAAGACAGAAGAGCAATACAGTTAATGGATCCGTTCATCTAGAACACCAACATAAATAAAAAGTTTGCATAGCTATGTCTACCGAGGGTTTAAGGCACTTCATGTTTCAAGGTCAACGAAGTGTTTGAAAATGGTTTCTTTTTAACCGCTTAAAGCTTTTCAAGCTGTATCTTAATACATTCACTAGCAAATACTGGGGGGAAAAACTGGACAGCAGTTAAAGTGTTTTTTCTGAGGCATGGCCTCTGATGTTCAAGTTCTTAAACGTCAAATGTTGTGCAATTAAGACACCTTTTAGCCCTTTCAACTGTACTGCCAAACACTAGGTTAGTGATGTGGTTAAAAAGTTGTTGTAATTTCAGACCGTGTTTGAGCTGGAAGGCTTAAGTTAATCTGGCATAGTTTTCTCTCTTCTAATTAAAATTCCAACAAAAGACCTGTTTCGTATGTGGTAGGTACAAAAAGCCTATGAAACAGTGTCAAATTTTATGTATGTCTTGAAGTTTAAAGACATTTAAAGCAAATACAAGCTGTGAAATTACACCATGAAAAGAAAAGAAGTTGTTTTGTATGCTGCATCTTAACAGTTCATGAATAAATAATTTCTTTTGTAATACTGTTAGCCAAGTTGATCCTCATACTGTTTCCGGAAGCAGTCCCCTGCTGGGAAAAAGTCCCAACATCTTTCTTGGTACATCTTCCACACAAACGACTCCTGAAAATGATAAACAGACACCTTGCTGTTAGTGCTCCAGCTAAACTTTTACCAACAACCAGGTACTCTGCCTATTACCATGGAGCAGAACTGTGAAGACACTGAAACTCAAAGATGGCAGCTCAAGAACATTTGTAAAAGTATTGCTCTGCGCTTCCCTTGATTCAGTACTCCTATTAGAAATACCATGTAAGTGGAAATTAATCAGTCTACTTAGATCAGAGCAAACCTGTAACAGTCTGTATATAGAAACTGGTTTAGTTTGCTTGGAAAATACTGAAGTAAAAGATGCTTTTGTAGTTTTTGCATAACACCTTCTTATTTGAGATAAGGTATAATTAAATCCTATTTATTTTCTTGTTTATTTACATTTAGGGCCTAACAACACTAAACATACATCCATGTACCTTATCTCTCTACAGGTATATATGGATTTAGACTATAAATAGAGTAGTTTAACTACTTAATCTTTTAGGAATAAACTATCAGTGGTGTATTTCAGAGATAAGATGACAGTAAGATTACTAGTAACTGACTTCTGACGGAGTTCAGCGCTGGGTAGAAGTGCACAGGGCTGCGGCCCACCCTTGCCCTTTTTTTAACCCTTCCTTTTCTTTCACTTGCAGAAGGCTCTCGGGGAGGGTGGGAATCATCTCCACTCCTTGGTGGTACATCAGTTCCACCTGGTGGTACACAGCTACAAGGCTGGAGAAGGTAAAAACATTGAAGGACAATCTTAAAAAACATTAGGTTTATTTTCTACTCACCTGGCCAGTATGCTCAGTTTCATCCTTGTTAATGAGATACATTAAAAAGAACCTGAAACAAGCACATCAATTGGGTAGTAATGCAGAAAACAGAACATCTCTGCCCAACCTTTCCTTGATGGGGGGACGTCAGGGCAATTATGCCAGCCGGCAAAGTAATGATGGTGGCGGGGCCTCTAAAGTGCTTATGCTAAAGGAGAAAATTCTGTCCTCCGGCACAAGTGCTAACAGATGTAAAGTCTGTAGAAACGGGAAAAGGTGGTTAAGCCTTTTCCTCATTTCAGTGCGAGGAGCAATGCCTGAATGAGGCACGTGCCCGCTCCTATACACATATGCTCCCACATCTCACCTTGGAAGAAGTTACTACAGCTGCTACGGCAGAAATTAGAAGAGTGGCAAGTACTCGGCTGCACCAGGACTTCCAGGCACTCACAAGCTGAGCCCAGCTATCTCCGGTACCCGTGCTCACTCAAATGTAGTGAGCTTGAACTGATTAGGAAGGCTGCAGAGGACTACCAATGCTCTGGTTGTATGTAACACAACTCTTGGTTAGCCACGTTTGATGCAGTGCGTTTGGAATTAAACTGAGGATGTGCTTTCATTGGGAAGAACGGCACGTGTACCGACTTCAACGTTTGGCTAATTAAAGGGCAACTCGGTTAGAGAGGTTGTTCACTATATATCCTAATATTAAGGAAATGGCCATTTTTAATTCCCTGTGAATTACAGGTTCCCACATGCCAATTAAGCAATTCAATACAGCAAGAAAAGCTTGGAGGTTGTAGACTGGTAAGACTGTGGATGTTAATGGAAATTTGCCTCACAAAAGTAATGTCCGTTGATTTCGCAGTGTCAGTTGCTATGCAAGGAACAATGCAGCCTCTGCTCCGGGAGACACACTTTGTTGTTGTTGTTTTTTAAATTTAGAAGTTCAGATGCAGTATTCCAAAGCCAGACTTCTGTAAGATACCACCAGTTCTGCTGGCACAATGCTCATAGAGTTGTCCTTGTATGAGTAACTAACACCACCAAATTAACTTTTTAAATACCCTCTTTGATCTGCTCTGTATTTGCTAATGAATGTAGAAGACTGTCTTGGGAATCTGGTCAATAGCCTAAACGCATACAACTCCTGATTGTTTCAAGGTTTTGGAAAGCTGCACTGTCACTAAAGAACTATAGGATCAGAATTATATATTATTTTTTGTAGCCTAGTTTTCAGGAATCTTCCCAAAATGCCTTTTTTTGATGTTGTTGTTTTTGGATGTTTTGGGTTTGGTTTTCTTTTTGTCAAATTGAGGCTAATTCTCAATGATACCTAGCCCTCAGAAGTCACAATGAAACCTTCCAAAGTAAAACAATTTATTAAATTTGTTCCCTATCATTCCACCTATCTGGGTTTCCTTCCAGAGGAATAAGGAGTTGGAGTGCCTTCAGGTCTCATTCTGCTAAGGGGAGCACTTTGCAGATAACCAGCAGTGTGGAGTAGAGGAATGGAGATAATCCCCAGTTCTACAGAATTCTGTCTTAAGATTTGCAGCAATGTGTACGCTAAATTACTCTGGAGCTGAAAGGTCTCTTTATCGTAATTCCAGTAGTAAAATATACTTACAGATAGTTTGCCAAGTTGTGTTCTTGCAAAGTATGTGTTTCAAAGCCATGCGGGGTTGTGTCAAAATAGTCATTGCCGATTCCACAAATAAAACATTTGGTCTGGAAACACAAGGTGTGGTTACCAATTAATTTTAACTGAAAGACGCTATTTTAACTGTAAGAGTAATGAACAATGTAGTGTGCTTCCTCATACCTCCATATCTTCTCTCACTTGTTCTTGCTGGTCTCTTAATTCACCGAAAGCATCAATAATCAGACCTATTTCAAATGGAAAAGTAGCAACACTTCAGTACTTCACAATATTCATATTTCAAGTAACATCTGTCAGACATCCTCCTCTCTTTGGAGTTTATTGTACTAATGTCTAGGGTGAATAAGTTGAGTTACAATCTATCAATTTCCAGACACGTAGCATTTGTTTACACTGCACTCCTAGCGGTAAGAATTTCTCTTACATAGAAGTACGATCTTGAGAGTGGAAAAGCTTTTCTGTACTTGTATTTTGGTCAGTTTAAGCTTCCATAATCTCATCTCTCTTGTTCCCATAAAAGAATTTAATTTTCATTCTCCTTCTTCTGGCATTCTTGTACCCCAACTTTTGTTCAACAGAGACGACTCTGCTCCCACAGGCCCCTCATCCAGTTTGTGATGCTGCTTCATATCCCAAGTGTTATATCTCCGCTTCTAACATATTAAGAATAGAGTTGGATCATTTTGGGGACTGTTGACATTCATAACTTTTTCTCAGTATAGAAGTATTACATTTTTTCCTTGCCACCAGATTGCCATAAAATGGTCTTTTTTCCTACAGCCTTAGGTCAGTTTAATACAATGAGTGTTGAATACTGACAGTCATTGAAGAGTGGTCTTGTCCTCTGTAAACCACAAGTGCAAACCAATTAAAACTGCAAATCATCCTCTAAAGAAAGGGGGAAATGGGCATGTGGCCATGGTGACTCTCCATGCCACATTTCCCCTTTCCAAGGGGAAAGTCCCCATTCCCCAGCCAGCTGTGGTAGTTCCAGACTAAAGGTGTGAAAAGTCTCTACAGCAAGGCTCTCCGAGTTTCAGTGGTTATTACAGGAGGAACAGTGATCCTGCACAAGCTGTGTCATTGCTGGACAGCTGTCAGAGTGATCATAAACGCTGTAGCCCAGATAAGTTGTGTTTCTTGTGCCTTGTCTTTGCGTAGCACTTGGGACAATGCATTATTTGTGAATTACGTATAAAATTATTACTTTCAGAATTAATGATTTTATCAGCTCATAAATAAGTCTTTATAGCAATACTGCTAAATTTACCTCAAATGCAAAGACAGTTCAAATACATTGCAGAACTTAACTGAATTCTAACAGTCTCTACTAAGGTAGAGAGAGGGTACCTTGAATAATGGCCAGTAGGATAACGATGACAAAGAAGAAAAATGTGATGTCAAAGACAATTCGATACATTTCATAAGGGTCTCCAGCAGGATCCTCAATTTCATCTCCAATGCCACCACCAGCTCTTACACCCACATACATGTGGAACAAGTAACACTAAAAAAGACAGAGGAAAATGACAGTTATATTTACCATGAATGATTCTGTTTGGGGTTTTTCTCTTTCTTTAAAACGATTCTGCTCTGCTAGTTCTTTTCACAAGGTATAGTAACAAAGAACACATAATATCATTGCTCATGTATCACACACACTGCACCAAAAATCTGTTACTGTGCTCTGAAGTCACATTAGTATGCAATTACATCTTCAAGTACACTTAACTAAGAGGGGGAACTCAGCATCAGCTGTTACCCTCTGCTCACTCCTTAGGTCTTACTTACAGACTAAGACCATTTGAAGGACATTTCTCTTGTATTTGTTACTATATTCAACTATATTCCACCCCTTATATTAATTCCTAAGGTTCTAGCTTGCTCTGAGTAAGCGGAGGACATCTTTTAAAGTTTTGTAATGGAGTTTAGAAATGTTGGCAAATATTGCCAGAAAATAGATGGTGATATATTCATAACAAGGAGATCTATCTGCATTTAGGTGGTTTCTGGATTATTTCATTTTGCAATATGGGATGTCCGGTGTAGTGTATTGTAAATTATGTATGATCTGAGAAACAGCCTGTGTTCAGTTTGATGTGGAAGAAATCACTTTACAAAAATGTTTTATAATGATAGTGTTACATCTTTTCAACATGTACGTCTTCATGGGAAAAAAATCTTTAAAAATCAGGATATTTAAGCTATCTAAGGATATTAAAATGGAATCTTCTGCTGGAGTGAAATACTAATGTTCCCGTATGAATCAGCTACAGAATCTTGTAAACCACTTTCAGTCACAGAATGTGGGTTAAAACCAACAGAAATCTCTAAGCCCAGCCAGTGCTCTGAAGTCACATTAGACAGCAATGCTGGTGTTGAATAGTCGGCACAAAACCTGACAAATCTGGTCTTTCATAAGCAAACGCTAACCAGAACTATACACCAAATTTTATAATGCAACTTTATTGTTGACATTTAGATGCCGGTACTAGTTTAATAATACTTAAAAATGGAACTTGGAATTGATTTACCTCACTTGGTAGAGTGGTTTAAAATGTAATAGAGTTTCATTATTGCAATTACTCATACATCTGTTTTATGACCAGACCATTGTATCCAGCTCACAGATGGACCCAGTTGTTAAACAATACTGGTTGGGCAGTTTTTGTAATTTCTATCATTTGCACATCTAACTTGCACTGAATCTTTGAAAGAAAGTTCAAGAATAGGGAAGATTGTTTTGTGAAGTCTATAACACACCTCTGTTCTGCAGTATTTTATTCTGTCTTTGGCATGTAGCACAGGGCAGAGACTGCCTGTTCCATCGAAGAAGTGAGCTGGCCCCAAACTCAGAATACTACATTTTTAATACCTGAATTTATGCTGTTTTCTGTATCCTTAAGAAAATAAAATCCTCTTCATACTATAATATGTATCTGTAGAGTATCTTTTAATATGACATAAATAACTTCCTGTGGCAACAGGTAGAAATTAGATCAGTGGCATTAGATTATCACCCATAAGAAGTTCTAATTTCCCCCTTCTCTACTCCAACTTGACTTCTTACTTCATGACTAAATTAGTACTTGTAAGCAACGTAACTAGTGCTTCCTATAACCTAAATAAGGACAGGAAGAGCTTGCAGAACAGATTTGGTTTATTTGTGCTGTGACAACACAGCTTCTTTTTGCAGGGCTGACCCGTTTGTCATTGATTTCTTCCATATACTTTAAGGGTTGGTCATCTTCACATGTAAAAGAGTTGCAGCAAATCATATACCACAGTATTTAGGAGAAAAATCCAGAATCACTTCCTGTAGTGCTGAGTCTTATCTATCTATCTACTGTTGAGTTTAGACCCCTGGAGAATGCAGAGGGAACTTCAAGACCATTCACATTTTCAAAATGGCATTTAGCAAGAGCAGCCCCATGGATTTAACAACAAAACCATCCATCCCTCCTTGCTTATCACTTTATCTTAAGTATCCAATTGAAAATTCAGGATGAAGTTTGAAGCATGCTAGTGATGTTTTAGTTACCGTCATCATGTCATCACATTTCATGTCTGGTTCATCTTCATCTTCGCTTTTGTTGTAGAATTTGCGGAAGAAGTTGAATGCCACAACAGTGTAAAGATACACTACTACAGCGAGGAGGCCCACAGTCAGCACAAGCTGTGTACGGAGACATGACATGAAAGCAGGTTTCAGTTTCATGCTACCAGAAGAGATACCCTAGCTCAGTGTATTGCCTTAAGTATTGAACATGTATCATGTTACACCTTTCCCAGTAAGGCAACTAAAGATAGCAGTTACGATAGCTTCAAGTTACTTGGATCAGCGTAGGGGTGTTACTTTACCCTGCTCTCACGTGAAAATCAAAGGGAAGAGCAGAATCAAGAAACTGAAGTTGTTTCCATCTTTCTGAGCTATATGCATACAACCTATAGATCACTGAAGCAATGTTCCACTTTTAATTTAAAAGTTAAATTCCAGTAACTTGAAAAACTGGGTACACGGTGAAAATTAAATGATAAAAAATAAACTCCTTCTGTTATTTTCATAAATAATTTCAGCTGGGACTTACGGCTTATCATAGTCTATTTTCTGTTCCAAAGCTGGTTAGCAAAGTTACCAATAAAGCAGCTAGATAGATAATTTTTTTGATAACCAAAGAGTAATTTCCAGATCCTGCTTTTAAGCAATTAAAATCCTTTCATTGAAAAAGTTTAGCAGTTAGTTAATGAGACTAGATTATATGGTTTGTTGGAGCTGGCATTAGAAAATGCAGCACTGGAGAGGAGTTACTGAAGGCTACATATCTTTAAAAGTGCAACAATTGGTATTACTCTTTTAAAAGAGACGTAAGAGTATTGAACAACAACCTGATCATCAGTTTATCACTTTCTGCAGATCTGCAAGGATGCTCCTAAAGTGAACATTTCAATTGAAAAATCTGCAGCTGTCTTTCAGTGTGCACATCTACTGGCAAGAAAAGTAACAGGATTAGAAAAACTAATCTTCGCTTGTTAAGAACGTACACCAAAAGCTGTGGTCTTGAGTTGAATCAGTTTTGTCAATTATGCTCAGTTTTGAGTATCATAAGTAGAAAAATCTCCTAAAGAAAATATATCAGTCATTAAGTCAGAAGTAATGCAACTTTGGCCATCCTGGAGGAAAATGAAGGTGATTGATAAAACCAGAGACTTCATTAGTTTGTACAGTGACACTGAAAACATTCTCATACGTGCTATTACAGAAACTGCCTTTCCTGGTAAGGGAAGAAACTGCCATTGGTCAATTTCTGCTGAAAGAAGGGACTGAGCAAACACAAAGGATCTGTCATAAGTTAAGCTAAAGGCATACTCTTGTGCCTCTTCCAAAACCTTATGTAGTTTAAAATATTTTGACAAGTCTAACAGGGAATAAGAGTGGGCTTAGAATATCTGTTACTGCATTGGGGAAGGAATGGAAAGTGTATGTTTCAAACTAAATATTAGGGAAGTTCTGTTAGATTCCTTAAGTGTAAGTTAAAAAGTGCGTTAGTGAAAAGCTTGGGTTTGATGGTGTGCTAGCTAGGAACATGGAGCCTTTCCCTGCATAAGTTTCAACAATTAGGTTTGGAAGTAGATTTTATTAATCTGATTTTTGCATGACAAAGTGACATATAAATATATTCTACAGTGCAGAATGCCCACACCTGTAAGCACATTCTTACTAGCTGAGTATTGAAATCTCAGTGCCC